TTTTGCAACCGTTATATCTTTGAACTGTATGGAGAGTCGCATTCTTCCGACTGCTTGCGACAGTAAAAAAATCATATGTGGATTTTAATTGATGTAGAAAGTAGAGCAAGCCCTTTGCTTTTACATTGTTGATGCTGATAAGAAATAATGTTAATTCTGGTGTACATCAGTCTCTTTCAAACAATCTGAAGAAGAATCTTTTGGGCACAGCATAAAAATTTATATCGACTGCTTTTTAGGTCGTCCATAACGGGTAAAATACGACTTTTTGCTGATGTATAGACTAGATGCCGACCGACCGACTTTATCGATTTTTGGGGAAGTTTGAGCTGCGGGGCTGAGAGTTGGTACATGGGGGTAAGTGAGGGTGCTGATTATGGATAAAAATTTACTTTATAGATTTTATCGATTTTTGGAAAATCTCGAGCTACGAGCTTGGGAGTTGGTACAGGGGGTAAATGAGGCTGATTAAAACCGAAATCTATTTTATCGATTTCAGCAATTTTTGGAAAATTTTGAGCTAGGAGTTGGTATAGGGGATACTAGGGGGCTGATTATGATTGGATCGGCTCTAGCCATATATGTCGGCAAGTTTGATTGCTTTAGTTACTCGATAAATCATTCGAATATTTACTCGAAATTCGACTTCCAATGTTCGAATATATTCGATATTCATTCATTCGATTTTTTGTTTTTTTATATTTTGTTTTTTTTTGACTTTCCGAATTTATTCGAAATTCATTCATTCGATAATTTTGATTTTCCGAATTTATTCGAAATTCATTCATTCGATATTTTTGATTTTCCAAATTTATTCGATATTTGTTTATTCGAAATTTTTCCCTTTCGAATTTATTCGATATTCATTCATTCGATGAAAAATTCTCGAATTACCCAAGTATAACGCACATCCCCTTCCCGCGGGGATGTACGTGCATATGGGCCTAGACGTTCGAGGACCAAAAGAGAATGCTCGTACTTCGAAAACGAATGAGCAAAAGAACTGCTCATACGGGATGATGTTCCCAACGCACGAAAAAGATACACCAAATGCGAGTAACTTATATGCCTGCATATACAGGGTGTCCCAAAAGTAAGTACACACTTTTTAATCGTTAGTAATTCTCTTCATAAAAAGTCCTTCGCTTAGCTCGAGGTACCAATCAGCAAAGTAGGTTTCAGCTTGGATTCACAGTAGGGAGCGAATCAACCGTGGCTCTTCTTTACTGTAGGACCACGGTGGGAACTTTGGAGAAGGCTTTGAGCCATTGATGATCAATTTTTGCCCCAGAATGCATACTCAGCAAGCTGAAAACTTTATCATCTGGCTAACCTGAGTCGCTGGCTATAAACATGAGGTTCGCACTCTGTCCTAAGACTTTCTTTAAGAGCTATGGCAGAAAAATGCAATAATATCTTTTCAGAGTTTTTCAAAAATGTGATTAAAACATCTAAAACGTTTCACAAACTTGTGAGAAGTTGTCTAATGAAATCAGCATGTCTAAAAACATTATTGTGTAAATTCCCGCGTCTGGTATTTCTTTTTTCAAACGGCCTAATTCACAATGGCCCTGTAAGATGGAAGTTTCTACCGCAATCCCACAGTAATGAAAAGTGACGGGTGATTCCTCCATACTATAAATCTAACAAGGGAAGGATGATCGGTCGAAGTGGCCATTTGGAATGAGCTGTATATTAGGAAACCGTCCTCGGTAAGGCAAACTCAAAACTACTTTCGCTAGGTGCCGAGCGGTTTTGTTGGGGGGGGGGGGGAGTTACAAGGCCATTTTCCTTCGGCGCAGCGGCGCACCCAGTGATGAGCGAGGCGCTAGAATAGCGTAGCAGTGTGACAATGACGCAGTGGCAAGACGGCGGACTACGAAGCAGGTGGTCGAGGGTACAAGTCCTGTTGCTGCTGTTTTGTTTTCCAGTTCTGTAAAAAGTCTATTGGGTGACAGGAAACGAAAAATACTCATTTCTAGGCAGCTGAAACATGCTATTTACTGCAAAAACGTCACTATTTCTACAATAAGCTATAATTTTCTACAATATGTAAATCTGTGGAGGTTATGATGTTACAACAATGGATTCAAATGATATATTAACATGCATGAAAAAATTATTGATTGCATGTCAAAAATTCGAGTCTCCTGTTCAGTACTGTTTTTCAACGACTTTGATAGGCAATTGTGAAGCTGCTGATTGTCATCGTTTATATTTTATCCGATGTGCGCGCTGCGAGAAGCTCTTTTGCTTTGAGCATTTTGTGGTCGTATTCCATATATACAGCTCATTCCAAATGGCCACTTCGACCGATCATCCTTCCCTTGTAAGCTGAGGCTCCCGCCAGAGTGCCGAAGTTATGCCAGCGCTACGCCAGCATTTCGATCAATACACGTGTATTTCGCTGGGGCGGGGCTAGCTGACGTCCCCAACGAAATACACGTGTATCGATCGAATTGCTGGCGTAGCGCTGGCATTACTTCGGCACTCTGGCGGGGCCTGAAGCCTGCTCTACTAATTCGTTTTGAAGCTGAGTAAAAGACTACCTGGGGGGGGGGGGGAGTTATTAACGATTAAAAAGTGTGTCTTACTTTTGGGATACCCTGTATGTAAGTTGGGATGCCAGGTGAATAGCAGCGGGGACTGCTATCGCTCAAGGCAGAGCGGTTCAAGCGAGGGTATTGGTTTAGCTAGGTATCCACCAACCTAACTCCCCAAACCTTAAACAGACCTGACAAATTTCAAGTAGAGACATTTTTTATCTAAAAAAGTTTTCAATCCAGAAAATCATTCTAGTAGGACGAATGGCTCCCAGTAAAGAAGTGACTGTCATGAATAAAAAACTGCCATATCCAGCCGACACCTCCAAACCAAAGCATCAAACGATAGACCCCGTTAGCAAAGCGAAGACAGAATATTAGGAAATGAGGAGCGAAACATTTACTGATGTTTAAGTGACAAGTAGTTAGGACAGCTATGTCGGCTGTACCGGTCCTGTTAAGATTTTATCTGATCTTTTTTCTAAGCTCTGTTTAAAGAGGTGCTATCAGCATAAGCCAATAGTTCACGCGGTAAACATTGCTTTTTTCTGTCTTACGGGTAAAAACTCGTGATCAAGCAAAAACGGTGATGTTTCTGCCCACCGTGTGAACAAGGTACCCATGGCTGAGCTCAAACACCAGTACTTAGAGGGATTCAGTCTAGTCTCACCCCTAAAGATGGTAAAGCTAGTACAAGATTATGAACAAATCTACGATATGCAAGGCTTTCGAGGTTGAGTGTCTTCAATCGCTGATCATAATTAGGAAGTGAACGAGGGTGTGCCGGATCAGGAAAACAACGATAGAAAAGTAGTTTTGTAAAGATTCTCTGGACGCCCTCCAAGGTCCTCGTGCTTACCCAGAGAGGGGCTCCACACCTGACTTGCATATTTAAGCACAGGAATAACGAGGGCTGTATAAAGTTTACCAAAGTTCTTGGTTCAGTGGTTTGACCGATGTTTTGTTTATAAGATCCACTCCGTCATACTCATAATGCACTTCTTCTTCATCACCAACATAAAATACTGTGCTTTTTCCAATGCTCACAGAAATATCTCAATGTTTACACCAGCCAATCATAACATGGATTGAACGTTGCAGAGATTCTCTAACCAGTGCCGTTTTCGCTACTGTATACTTCGTACATTTTGATATCGTCTGCATACATAAGAACAGTAACATCGGTATGAGTTTTCAATATTCTAGATCAATATAGATCGTAAATAAGAGAGATAAAAGAGCTCCTTCTTGCGGGAGCCCACCAACTCAAGGAAAACGTTCAGAATAGTCTCCATTGATGCGAACGGTCATATATCTAGAATGCAAGTAAGATCTAAGCCAATCTAGATGGGCGCCTCTAATGCCATAGTGCTCAACTTTATATAGCAGTTTGCCATGACCTATACAATCAAACGCTTTGGATAAGTCAAAATAATGATTTCCACTTTCTGTCATTCGGATAATACTTTTAGGGCTAAAATCCGATACAGGTTGTGCTTTATTACCTTTTGGAACAGCAGTAACTAATTTAATTGTTGTACTCAGACAGCGGATCGGACCCCTCCGCCGGAGAAGTGGCAGGGTCGCGGCGTATCCCCAGCGGTGGGTCTCCCATTTGTCCGGCGGAGCCCTCCCATTTTCTGCTCCGGATACCCCCCATTTTCTGCTCCGGATACCTCCCATTTTCTGCTCCGGAGCCCCCCGATTTTGTGCGCCGGAGCCCCCCGATCGCGGCATACTGTAATTAGCCCTAATTAAAGGCAGCTTCCAGGCAGATCTGGTATGGGGCTTTTACATGGAAAGTACTTTTGGGGCCCTAACTAAGGCACTGCCGAAGCAGCAGCTCAGGTAGTGCTCTAATGGCGGAGATATTCCCCTCGAAACAGACCCCCGCGAACGTATTCGCATGGATTCATGGCAGTTTCGCGCCAGGGTCCACGCTTTGCGCCATGAATCCATGCGAAACACGGTCGCGGGGTCCAGTTTCGAGCAGAATATCTCAGGCGTTACAGCACTACCTGAGCTGCCGGTTGGGTAGTGGGTTAGTTAGGGCCCCAAAAGTACTTTCCATGTAAAATCCCCATAGGTCCAGACTTGCCTGGACGCTGCCTTTAAGCTCCAAACCCCAATTTTGTCTCTAAACCCCACCCAAATTAGCCGAATAGGACCCCCCCTCCTCCCCCCCCCCCCCCGGGTAGGAGTTCAGCAGGACCCTCACCCCGTACTCTACCCCCTCCCTCTCACCCCTAGCGTTTGTGGATAGAAGATAGGAGAAAGAACGAAGAGATTAAACATTTATTTCAAATTTTTCAAACTTCTTCGAAAAATCATCTTATATCGTTAATCATTTCACACTCACTGGTGTAAAAGAGTGAACCTTAGAATAGCAATAAGCGAACGTTCAAAACGTGACAGGGTGAGGGAACGGGCAATTTATTGCACGTAAAGAACGCCATTCAAACGCAATTTCATCCTGCAGTGTTCGATGAGCATTCCACCTGCGAGCAAATAACCATGAAGATTCGTTCAATCTTGGTTTCATTCAATCTTCAATTTTGATCGTTCAATTTTGACAAAGTATTCTGAAGTTTGGTTGAATGAATGTTTATATCTGTAAATCTAGGTTCAAAACATTCACTAAGAACATCACTTACTTTTTGAGAGGGTCTATCCTCATATTAACGGAAGTATACATTGAACAGCTCAGGGGAGTGGTCGTCAAAGACACAAGAAGAGAACAACAGTAGGTGAAAATGTCCAAGCGAATCGTTCATACAATGCTTGTTCAATCTACTCTGTTAGGTACGCTGTAGGTGCATGGAATAAACGCATGAAAGCTGTGATGGCTCCCAGAAGCAGTCGAGGTGCCTAGAAAATGGTTCTTACTATTTTCTCAATTGCGAAAGCAATCAAGAGAAAAAACTCTAACGAGAAGACTCAAGACTTTTTGTGAAAGCACTTCTGCCGACTACGGCCCAGAAGAATCACAGCGTTTCTTTCCGCTCAATCTCGAGCAAAAAAGATTGCCCAGATTCAGAGATAGATGGCTGAACCACTTGGTTGCTATTTCAGTAAGAATTTATACAAAAACACGAAAATAAATACGGAAGAAATGGAAAAATCGTGAATCGGCAGACAAAAAAGGAAATATAAAGTACACTCACTTTTCTAGAGTAGGGCAGTAAGCTAGGCATATCCTTCCATGCAAAAGCACTATACTGAGGCACATTTAAAAACACATTATAATCCATTAACCTACGATTGAATGTATCAGATATTGCGTGACTGAAACGTGCAAGGAACAGAAGAAGTATAGAATAAAATGCAAGGGCTGACTGTGACTCACCTAGGAATGAGCTTGTCAAACCGCTGCACTACTATGGCAGAGTTTCTTGTGATAAATGGGTCTCCAAAATTCATAACAACTGTATTTCGGCCAGAGTTTGGAAGCTTTGTATACATTTCAGATGAACCTTTGGTGAGATAAATCTAAAAGATGAGTGAAATCAATGACAAAGCATGATGAAGCGGACTTCTGAAGATCTCAACGTACTGTTAGACATGCTTTGGCAGCATCGTTGACAATAGTTCCCAATGAGGAAAGCTCATTTTTGAAACCGATCATCATGGGAGACAAAACGGTAAAATTAGGTATGTACATGGGCATAAAGGTTGTAATAGAACATCGACTGAAACTGAAAATCATCCAAGAACGAATAGCAATGAAACATCAGAACTGACCTAAAATCTATGGAAGTTTCCAGTGTTAGTTGTGATGAAACTTCGCCAAAAATTCATCAGGACTGACATGGTGACTAGCTTAGTAATGTTGTCACAGCAATCTTACTGGAAAATCGTCCCTGAAACCCTGTACACCCGAGCCCGGCTACTCATCAAAAGTCTTGCAAAATCCAGTATGTAGGACCTCATAGTCCTCATGAATATTCCTGAATAGATCAAACGTTATTACACTTTTTAGGGTGGGGGACATTAGGTCGCCGAAAAAGGGCGGCCCCCGCGGTCATTTGCGACAAATACGCACCCTTGTACATGCGCGGACATGCGTTCCTGCAGGGAATCCGCGCGGGACTCTTCCGAATTCGGCGACCTAATGTCCTCCACCCCACTTTTTACAGCCCTAACAGCTTCATAAATACCTTATGACAACATTACTCCTCTGTCTCCGAAAGAGCGGATCATCCATGGGGTGCGTAACAGTTGTCATTCAGAAATCGCAGCGCGACGGTATCGTGGACACTATGCCCTAGGCCTGATGCCGCAATGAATGATTTGCAACGACGCGCCAAATCGATACGCAGCCTGCTCCGGATACCTCCCATTTCTGCTCCGGATACCTCCCATTTTCTGCTCCGGATACCTCCCATTTTCTGCTCCGGATACCTCCCATTTTCTGCTCCGGATACCTCCCATTTTCTGCTCCGGATACCTCCCATTTCTGCTCCGGACCCCTCCGATTTTCTCCGGCGCGTGTCTTCAAAATTTGGCGGACACGCGCCGCGCAGACCTCTGCGGCGCGGAGTCCGTCAAATCTGGCAGAGTCGCGCCGGAGAAATGGCGGACCTTTGCAGCAGGGCCGGAGAAGCCTCCCATTTGCCTGCCAGTGATGCCACCGCGATGGACCGCCCATTTGCCCTTCTCTCATTGGTCAACTGGGTCCGGCGCGACCCTGGCAGTTTCCGAGGGTCCGGCGGAGGGGTCCGATCGATTGTCTGAGTAGGATTTCGATGAGACCCCGTGGAGATCTAGGACTAGGGCTAAACTGGCTCTGTTACCTATTTTTTCGTTACTCTGACCTTAATTCTAGAAAACTGTAAATCATATTGAAGCTCTTGACCGACAATCTACTTTCACGTTGACAACGTCGTAAAATCCCATTTTTTGATTTGATCGAGACATCTGAACCGTGTTTTCGAGAATCCCTTGTTTTTTCTTCACTTCGTTTCCAAGAGGTTTTTTTGTGCCTTTCATGAATCTTGTTTCATTGTATAATATGTTTGTATGTAGACAGGGTCGCGGGGCTAACTTCTTCGATCGTGGTGAAATATCTAGCAGAAAGCTACAAGAAATGCGTTTTTGTTCATAGGTTTTTATTGGTGTTAGTAAGCAATCACTTCTCAATGCTTGTGAGCATTTTGCTTAGGTTTATGAACATAACAAGGTGACAACGTCGCCCGGCCCAATCTACGAAAAGTGGTAAAAATTCAAGGACTCATTAAGAACTAGGTTGCCTTTGTCGTGTATCACAACTTAGGAAAAACCAAAACTTCCGTTTATTTCTTCTTGATAACCACCATTTCCAAATATGTTTGTTTTCAAAAACATCAAAAAGATTTCCCTCGTTTTTTCCGTGTTTTGAATTGTCTGGCCCTCAAGCGAAAATTTTCAATTCGAGATGCCTCCAAATGAAAAATGTCAAATTGATTGCAGCGTTTTTATCAGGTTTAAAGTTTCTTCTGCTTCTTTCGTTTTGCATCTTTTCCTCTTCTTCGATTTCCTATAAACAACCTTCACTTCTTATGAAAGGCAGTTGCTCAAACAGCCTTCACTTTTGACGCCTATCTCTAGACTATTAAAGCAGTGGCGGACCGAGGGTCCCCCCCCCGAGAATGGGTCGCGAAATTTTTGAAACTTACCTGTATGAGTTATAAAAATGTGCAAACGACTTGTTTATTTTTGTAAATAATTGAAATATTTTTAAAATTTTTTAGAAATTCAAATTAGCCTTATAAAATTTTTTTTCGATCCAAATTTTAGGGGTTGGGGACCGCAAAAGTTTTGAAAAGCACCAAAAATTTTTTCGGAGTGCGTGCCTGACGCCACGCACCTTCATCTGGAAAGGTTTTTGTCGCCTCCCACCCCCCCCCCCCCCTCCCCGTTCCGAAATCCTGCGACCGCCACTGTATTAAAAGTATGCTCTTGTGCAATACGATCTGCCGCTGTTATTATAAGAAGTTTACATTCTTGCTGCACTTTCATTTTTTTGTAGTGTCAAATTCATTCATAATCTAGTAATGTGAAGGTGAACGTGTTTTTCAATTATTCATAAATGTTTCATTATTCATTAATGAATGCATCATGTCATTGATTGAAGGATTCTCTCTGTGATGAGGGATATCATCAAATCGTAACTCATTATGCGTATGCACATAACCAGGGTCAAGCAAGGGGTGTGGCACACGATCGCTGGTTACGACCCCCCCGTGAAATATACCTAAAGATAAGATAGCATTATCTGAAGGCCCTGTCAAACATAATGGGCAACATATCCATAATGAGCATGTCAATTAACCCCTGTAGACAAAGTTTGAGCGAATTCTGAAGATTCAAGATACTACGCTACGTGAAATGGTCATTTTCCAACATGATTAACTTTGTTTCAAATATGAATTAGCTATCCGTTTCTGCACTCAAGACAAAGCACTACTCCTTCTTTGTCCATCTCAGAAATCCGCTTCAAAGGACTCCACACTGTCGAATTATAAGCCAATTAAAATCTCATTTTTCCCATTTTTCGCTTTTGATGGCTGTGCTTTCACCAACTATTACTCAGACCAAAAAAACAAATCAGGCTCAAATCACTCCTTGAAAACTAGGAGATCTAGGTTATTGATCCATATAAATACTGTTCGCTAAAAATGTTTTTTTGATATAGTTAAGGGGTGTGGCACACCCCCTCAAAAGCTGTGACAGCCACAGCTTTTGAGGGGGTGTGCCACACCCCATTAACTATATAAAAAAAAACATTCTTAGCGAACAGTATTTATATGAATCGATAGCCTAAACCTCGTAGATTCCACAGGAATGTTTTAAGCCTGATTCGTCTTCTTAGCTCTGAGTAATATTTGGTGAAAGCACAGCTATCAAAAGCTAAAAATGGGAAAAATGAGATTTTAATTGGCTTCTAATTCCACAGTTTGGAGGTCTTTTGAAGCGGGATTTCTGAGATGGACAAAAAAGGAGTAGTGCTTTGTCTTGAGTGCAAAAACGGATAGCTAATTCACTTTTGGAACAAAGTTAACATGCTGGAATATGACCATTTCACTTATGTAGCCTAGTATCAATCTTCAGAATTCGCTCAAACTTTGTCTACAGGGGTTAAGTGACATGCTAATTATGGATATGATACGAATATCATGTTACCACTATTATCAGATTACCCAACCACGACCGCCTCCCCTTTTGACTCCTCAGTACGACCCCCCAGGTGTGGCGTGACACACCCCATGTTTGATCCTGCACATAACGCAGCTACTTCACGGCTTGCTCTAGCACCTGTTAATTTCCAAAGATTTCTTCTTATTTTCTTCTTTCTTTTGATTTGATTAGATTTGTATCGTTAGTAGTACAAATCCACACGCTTTGTTCCGCTAGAAAACTTGCCACTGACGAGTTACTAATAATGTGTCGTTGGTTCCCGCGCGCAGTGCTTGTGCTCACATATTATTTGAATGACTTGATGATACGGAAGGTAAAGGATACCCGTTGCATCATATATCAAGATTGACTTTGGCAGAATTACCGCTGGGAGTGCCACATGCTATAATTAACCATAAGTTTAGAAGACATTTGTCACGACATCTGCGCAAGCATTGTCAGAAATCAATTCGTCAGCAAAGTGTTGTACCGCAGTGCGATCTTCAGAAGGCAGGGATCCCGTGGCATGTACTTGCATCCGCTTCTTTACAAATGTACCCTCGCCTTGGTCCACTGCTTTTGTTTGTCCGTTGCCGCTGCCCGTGCTCATCTGCTCCAGAACTTCCACCATTTCGGTGAAGCTGTTTACGTGCGAAGGAACTGGAGTGGAAACCTTTTTGTTACTGACTGGCTTTTATTCTTTTGTTCATTATCAGCCAACCTGTCAAAAACATATGAGCAGCAGTCAGCAACCCAAAATCACGCTATATGCAAGCGTCCGCGCTGCAACTCACTCTCATCATGCAGCTTCGAATTTCTCAAGTATCTTCTTCTTCTCAGAATTAATCCTTATGCTTGATCGAAAACGAAAGCTTTTACAAGGGGTTTGCATCATAATTGACATGTATTTTGATAACTTTTGAGTATGACGAACTCGAAACTCACTCATTTTCCTCAATTTTAGCCGCAATGCAAAGAATCCATAAAGTCATTATCGGGGCGGTGACTTGGAAGCTGTGCAACAGCAGTGCATCCTCTCATTTATGCATGAAGAACATCTAAGACACTTCATTAGAATTCCCATATCAGATTTCCAGCGAAGGGATTTTTCAATATTTGTTTGCATCTCTTGTTGTGTAGCAGGAATTTTTCGCATGCTCTCGTAACTCCTTAGCACTCTCTCATAACACATCAAAAAGAATACCAGTCTCTATTCTTACATAGGTTTTCAAAAAGATGCCGCCTGTTCAATTTTTTCGATCACGTAGTCACCTCGAATTCTAACGAACCAAATTGATATGGGATTTCGGCACACGAATCGACATCCTTGAATGTTCACCTAGAGTTTGAGCAGAGGAGATGTCAAATGTCAGAATGCTGTTTTACAATCGATTTGGCTTTCTTTTGCTAGACGGTGCGAGATTAATGGAGCTGAAAAACAGTGATAGATTTGTTCTAGAGGAGATTCTCTTCTCAATAAAAGCCAAGTGGAAAGTGACATGAATATTGTTGGAGGTAAATTTAGTGCCAAAATTATGTTCACTAGCATCCGTTGAATGTTGCTGACTCGAATTCTACTCAGCATACGCGGAATGCCAAAAGCATATCTTTCGTGGCTATTGCTACCTAAACTCTCACGAACATGTGCACTTGCAATGAGCGTTGGCTCAGAATTCTCTATTTTCGCTTGTTCACTCATGCGTTTCCCTTGTTCCTCGCTTCCTAAACGACGCGAAATTACCTTTGAGTTCATTGTGCTCCCTCACACTTGCACGTTCGCTTCAGTCAATCGTTGGCTGCCTAACGAAACTTAGCAGAGTAACGCTTTAGCTCTAGCGCTCAAAAGGACAAGCAACGAAGTAGGTCGTGAAAGTTGCTTTTGATGAACATCGTGTATGTACGGTTTTCGTTCCCCTTCGATGAAGCTTTTGGAACCAGAAATGTCAACGTTTTCTTCTTTCTCTTCCTCGAGCATTACCTTTTGAAAAAAACCCTCAATCTCTTGTTCTTCTCCTTTTGTTCTTTTTATGTGATTATCTTACATTTGAT